TACAGAAGCAATGGATGCACTACATCGGTGGGAAGAGAATAGAATAGAATAGAATNAAGAAATGAAACACTTGAAGCGGGTAAAATCAATTTGAATATATTTGATGTACAGAAGCAATGGATGCACTACATCGGTGGGAAGAGAATAGAATAGAATAGAATAGAAACTAGAAAATACAAGATAAATAAAAATGGCAATAAATTATCACTCAATGAAGAGGGAAAAACGGATAAGAGAAAGAGAGATCATAGGGTGGTGAAAGTGTTCCAGGGAGAGCACGACTCAGACAAATGGATTCAGGAAGCAGTCCTTGCTCTCGACGGGTGGCTTTGAGTAGAACTGCTGCTGCTGCTGCTCCTGTTGTTGCTGCTGCTGCGGCTTTTGTTGATTGTTGTTGGGGTTGAGGCAGGCCCCATTCACCTCCACATTGCCCAGGAGGTCGGCATCGTAGTTCTGGTTGCGCACAAAGCGCACCTGCTTGTGGTCTCGGTAGCGGTCCAGCTGCTGCTGGTAGGCGGCCCTCATGTGCTCGCGGAATGAGAGGTTCTTCCACCTAACAAAAAAGAGAGCAAAAGGTCAGACGTTTAGAAATTAAGGACACCAAACGGGAGTTACTTACATGAGCACGACAAAGGCGACAATGGCCAGAATGATGCAGTAGATGAGCAGTCGGCAAAGGGTCCGAGTGAGCGATGAGCCATCGGAGGGACGAGCGCTCTCCTCCTGCTCAATGAGCATGTTCTCGGCGGGTTGCGGTGGGCGGATGCCGTTGTCCTCCTCCTTCATGCGAACCTCAACAACTGGCTCAACAGTGGTGGTGGTGGTGGTGGTTGTTGAAGTGGTTGTGGTAGTTGAAGTGGTGGTGGGCTTAGCAATGATGATCGGCGCAAAAGTGGCCGACGGCTTGATGACGACCGCCTTCTGCGGAGGCGCTGGCACTGGCTTAGCTGGGAGAACAGTGATGGCACTGGTGCTATTGCTCACACAGGTGGCATTGTCCTTCGGCGAGAGGGTCATCTGGTCCGGGCAGCGGCAGCTGTAGCCGAGGGCGCCCTGCTTCAGCAGACAGAGGTGCGTACAGGGCGCCTTCTCGCAGGGGTTGAACTTGTCGAAGGGCGAGAGGCGGCCGCTGGCCCGATGCATCAGCGGGTGGTAGACGGCCAGGCCGAAGAAGCGGTCAATCCGGGCGTCCGCCACCAGGGGACGCATGTGGTGGCCGGTGATCTTGTCGCAGACCTCAATCTGATTGGTCGCCCAGTCGCTGAAGTAGAGCGAGTCCTCGAAGACGGCCAGTGCGTACGGCTGGCGGTTGTGGTCCTGGAAGACGAGGTGGCGGACGTGCGTGTCAAAGTCGTAGTACTCAATGGTGCCCTCCTTGCCGTCGCACCAGTAGAGGCGGTTCAGCGTCTCGTCCATCGCCAGGCCGTTGGGCCAGTGGACCTTATCGAGGAAGAGGGCGGCGCCGGCGCCGTCCATGGCGGCGGTGTAGATGCCCGCCTTGCCGGCGCCCCACTGCGTCCAGAAGAGGCGGCCCTTGTTGGGGAGGGTCAAAATAGCCCGCGGTTGGCTGAGGTTGGCCAGCAGGGTGGTGCAGTGGTGGGCGGGCTTCGCCTCCAGGTTGCACACCAGGNGCCGTCCATGGCGGCGGTGTAGATGCCCGCCTTGCCGGCGCCCCACTGCGTCCAGAAGAGGCGGCCCTTGTTGGGGAGGGTCAAAATAGCCCGCGGTTGGCTGAGGTTGGCCAGCAGGGTGGTGCAGTGGTGGGCAGGCTTCGCCTCCAGGCTGCACACTAGAATGCGGTCCTGCTCCGACTCGGCAATGTAGAAGTGGCCGGCCAGCCAGTCCACCGCCAGGCCCTCAATGCCCTTCAGCGCCTCGTGGTAGAGCACCGTAGAGTGGCCATTTTGAAGTTGATGGGCGAAACCGCCCTCGGCGAGGGCCACCTCGTAGACCGTCCCGTGCGAGTGGACCGTGGAGCCAAAGAAGAGCAGTCGCTGGTGGGCGTTGGCCACCTCAATGTCCATGCCGACGATGATCTCCTTCGGGTCGGTGCTCTCCACAATGGGCACCAGTGTTCCGGCGCGCAGGTCCACGGCGCGAATCGCCCGACCGGTGCTGTAGTAGAGCAGAGGGGCGGTGCCCTCGGCGAGACAACTTGAGGTGGTGGTGCCGTGCGCTCCGCTGACATTGGTCATGCGGTAGCCGTCGTAGCAGTCGCAGCGGTAGCCGCCCTCCAGGTTGGTGCACCGCTGCGTGCAGAGGTTCGTCAGCTTCACGTCGGAGCACTCGTCGTAGTCGGTGCAGGCGGTGCCGTTGAGGCCGCCCTCCAGGTGGTAGCCAGGCGGGCAGTAGCAGAAGGAGGCGTTGTTGACCGGGTCAAAGAGGCACATGTGCGAGCACTGGCGGGCGTGGCAGGCGTCAGAGGCGGCGCCGGCCTCGTCGGATGATCGGCTGCGGCACTGCTCCGCATGCTCATCGTCGCCCAGCAGGCAGTCGGAGCGGCCGTCGCAGACGAGGGCGTAGTCGAGGCACTCGCCGGTGCTGCACTGGAACTTGCCGTGCTCCTTGTTGCAGGCGCCGGCGCCCGTCAGGGCGCTCTTGAAGGCGGTGCAGTTCTGCTCGTCGGTGTTGTCGTCGCAGTCGAAGATGCCGTCGCAGCGCCAGATGCCGGGAATGCACTGGAGGTTGGCGCAGCGGAAGTCATCGCCGCAGTCCACCGTGGAGGCGGTGCAGTTGGCCTCGTCGGCGGCGTTGGCGCACTCGGCCATGCCGTCGCAGATCCACCGCTTCGGGAGGCAGGTGTGGAAGATGTCGTTGCAGGCGAAGTGGTCCTCCGGGCAGGCGGGCTGGTGGTGCGCAGAGTCGAGGGTGATAATGTGGCCCGAGCCGACGCCCATCTGGCAGTTCATTTCGTCCTCAAAGTTTCCGCAGTCGTTGTCATCGTCGCACTTGAAGAAGTGGGCGATGCACTTGCCGTTCTTGCAGTCGAAGAAATTTTCAGAGCAGTTTGAGGGTGAGGGAGTGATGGCGACGATGGCGGAGGAAACTGTTGGGAAGAGAGAAAAGTTAGTGTTTGAAGTTGACAATCAAGACAGAGGGAACATACCGAGATGAGACGATAGCAGGGCAGACGAGAGGGCGATGAGGAGGAGAAGTGCCGGTGATTTCAGTTTACAGTGCATGGTGAAATCAAAGAGAGTGGTGGTGGATGGGGTGATGGGGTGATGAAGAGAGTGAGGGTGATGAAAAAGCAGACGGGGAGAAAGAGTGAGAACGGGGGTGAATGGGGAGCGACGTGTCTGCACGGCAGATCGAGACTGAGCCCTGTGACCGAGACTTTATACCTAGATCATCAGCCTGGTGCTGCTTTGTGGCCACTCACAAGTCAAAACAGGAGCGACACCAACGGCGCTGCAGCTTGTTTTTCGACTGCTCATCCATCTCCAAGGCACACCACTGTGAATCACCAGTTCACGGTGTTTTGGTTACCAAACTCTGAACCTTGGTTGGCAGAAAAGCATTCTAGGGGAAAGCATCCTGTCAATTTAGGCAAGCAAACTGAATTGCTCAAAAGTTGAATGTAGCCAACCAGTCATCGGTAACATGCACTGTTTATCAGCAGATCGCATCTTACACNTCGACTGCTCATCCATCTCCAAGGCACACCACTGTGAATCACCAGTTCACCGGTGTTTTGGTTACCAAACTTTGAACCTTGGTTGGCAAAAAAGCTTAGGGGCAGTTTAGGCAAGCAAACTGAATTGCTCAAAAGTTGAATGTAGCCAACCAGTCATCGGTAACATGCACTGTTTATCAGCTGATCGCATCTTACACACACACACAACACACTCATCGATCAGTCATAACTGCCTGCAGCCAACAGCAAACACCTTATCAGCGTCACGTGTCACTCGAACAGTGAGCACTTCATCATCACCTCTTTTCCTCCGTCAGGTGGCTTGGCTTCTTTTGCATGCTAAGCATCTTGTTTGGTTGTTTGCACCATTGTACGGCTGTGTGTACAATGGCTCAATGCCCCTACCTGTTACACACACAGACGAAGCACAAGCACACCTTTTCCACAAATCGCATCCGTTTGGAGCGGCAGTCGTTAGCAGAAGCAGCTTGGAAGAATGAATGAATTATGGGCGCCTTTCCCTAATCTTTCACTTTCACTCTCTCTCTCTCTCTTTCTCCCTTCCATGCTCATTAATCGCCGCATCATGACCATTTAAAGCAACAGCAGCAGCAGCAGCATTGCTAATTGCGCAGAAAGGAAAAGTGTCGGAGAAGAAGAGTGTGACGGCAGCCTCTTTGAAAGGAAAAGAAGAAGAGGCTGCTTTCTAGTGAATGAATGGAAAAGAAGAAGGAGAAAGAGCAGATTCGCCGAACGGTAGCCAACAAAGTGTGGCGGTGACGGCTGCAGAGTCAGTTCATCACGGTGCCTCTCTCTCACTCTGTTTTTCATTAATTCCCACTAACAAACATGTGCCATGCTATATTTAGGAGAAACGGAGGAGAATTAGCAGGCAATTGAGGAGGAGATAGAACTGCTGTCTTTTGTCATTGTCCGAACACACACACCACAGCCACTGACTGTCTGTCGGAAAGATAAGAGCCTTATCAGCGAGGGTGACGGATTGCTAGCTGCTTCTGCTGCTGCTGCTGCTGTGATGCCTGGAATCACCACTGGCCATGGCGAGGAGCTCCAGCAAAAGAACTCAACTCAACAACAAGTCTCGCNTGCTGCTGCTGCTGCTGCTGTGATGCCTGGAATCACCACTGGCCATGGCGAGGAGCTCCAGCAAAAGAACTCAACTCAACAAGTCTCGTCTGAGCAGAGTGTGCCTCTGGGCAAGCACAGTGTGTACACACAGACAGACAATGATGTACAGCAGCCAGCAGTGCAATGTGATGAGGAATGGGCTTGGTGGTGAACGTTGCAGTCATTGCTGATGCGGCGGTAGTGGTGGTGGCAATTAGCAGTAAAAACTGTTGCTGCTGCCGGCATACCGGTACCTAACGTGTCTCTCTACCTCTACGGCCAATCACCGGACACACCCGGAAAAGCATTCTTTTGGTGTTGGGGAGAGAACAGAGAACAGAGCAGAGCACTCTTCCGTTTGGTCATCACCCACTTGACTCACCGACGAGTGCCACTTTTGTTTGCCACTTGGTCATGGCAATAGCTCTGTCGTCGATTAGTGGAGTAGTATTCCCTGCCGACTACCACTACTGAGTTTGCCATTGTCAGCAGCATCAGCAGCAGCAAGTGTCTCTGACTGTCTGTCTGCCTGCCTGCCTCTGTGTGTCGACAAGTTGCGCAGCATTGCATCCTCTGGTTAGCTGTACTTTTGTTCCACTCGAGCATCGACAAGCTGGAAAAAGTGCAAAACAAAGCAAAACAACAACAACAACAAAAAGAGGAGGAGGAATTGGTGGACAAAACGGTGTGCAAAAGGCTGCAGCAGTAGCCGATGATAGTAGCACTTCATCATCAACTGCAACATGCAACGCTTGCTCGCTAGCTCGTCGCTCTCTGCGCGCCTTTTCACATGTACTGCAATACCGAGTGCCGATTTCATCTGTCCATGCAAATTCCAATCACCGCAAGCGCCTGCCTAACTGCCAGCCAGCTTTTTTCAAGCCCAGCGCTCGTTTTCGACGCTGTCCTTGCTGTACATTTGTCACCGAGGAATGTTGAAGTTGAAGTCGTTGTTGATGATAACAGGCAGCAAACTTCTGCCAACTGCACCAGCCACTGCACCAGCAACTGCACTCTCTGCTGGTCACGCATTGCCTAATGGACCATCGCTAATTGAGAGGAGAGAGATGTGCAACACAACTACCAAGTTGCCGTCGTACCAGAGTCTGTCAGGGTGAAGTGATCACTCCTCACACCAGTCTGTACAGTTCGGAAGCATACACACACTTCAGCGGGGTGCTAACAGCTCACAAACATTCAGAAGAAAAAAGAGAGAGAGAAGAGATAGAAACGCTGAAAAAAGTATCACATGTTCACTGGTTTGCTAGCTGATGCTTAGTGTGCTGAAGTGTGCATTCACCAGCAGTCATCAGCACTTGATGAACTTTGGTGACTCTGCCGACTTCTCAAGCAGCAGCAGCAAAGAGGGAAAGTGAGAGTGAGTTTGTGAGGTGGCCCAGTGCATGTGTGTGCGGTGGTGATGGTGATGGGTAAGGAGCACCATCATCGGACACTGAGCATACAAACAGACAGACAGCTGCTAAAGCAGCAGCAGTGTGTGCCTTATCGATTGCCAGTGATAGAGAGAGAGAGAGAGAGAG